AAACTGAAGATGCATATAGCTCAACACTTACTAGAACTTCTCCCTTGTTCATACCTCCTTTATGCTGTAAATATTGTAGTCCAGGCACGTAGTCCCAAATATCTGTATTTTATTTATCCTCTTCTGTTCATCCTTACCAAGATCATAACCTGACTTTCAGTTTTAACACCTTTGGTCTGGCTACTCTTTTGATCCCTTCTCCCTCTACCCTTTCAAACTAGAAATCTACAGTAGATCTGTGAGTATAATTTTCTATAAATGTAGGACTACTTGTTATTTCTTACTCAAAAACCTTTTCTAGTTCCTTTTCTGCCCAGAATAAAATCAGTTACCAAGAGTAGCATAGTCTGACTTTAGTTTGTTTTTGCATTTGATCTGTATCTATATGTCAGCCAGACTTGGCTGCTTACCATCCCTCATCCATGCCTTTGCTGTCCTTTGCAATACTTTCCCTTGCAATCCTTACTGTACTTTAAAGTCTACATCAATTACCATCTTTTCTACAGAGTGATGATCAGGGCTGGAGTTATCAGCTTATTTCTATACACTAAAATCCTTCAGTTGGAAATGGTCTCTGCAAACTTTTACCAACACTTAAACAAACAGAAAACCAAAAAAAAAAAAAATGATCAATTGTGTTGATGTCTTTCCCTTAAGATAGTAAAGTTCTACAGACTATTCCTTAAAATGGTAAAACTGTGATTTGGCTTTTATTCCCTTTTCTAGCTGTATATTTGACTGCTTTCCACCAGGAACCAAATGATTCACCACATAGTCCACATAGAATCACTTCTTGTTCTGTGAACAGGCATGTGCTTTTGTGCACGTGTCATTTTCCCACAGGTGGCATATCTTTTACTTCAATTTCATGTGTTTTTGGAGGTACGTGTGTGGACAAAGTTGGGGGTGCTGGCCTTTGAAACCTAGTTTTCAAGTACATTATTATTAGATGCCGTCAAGTCAGCTACGACTTATAGCAACAGATCAGAACCTTGTGCTTTCTTGTGTTATCATCATGATCACTGCCTTGCAGAAGCCTGCTGTTGCAGACTATTTTGTCAGTCTATCTTGTTGAGAGATTGCCTTTACTGCAAAGATGTGCTTCATATCACTTAAGTGCTCTCCATCATGTAGATGTTCTCCAGTTACAGAGTTTCACAAGATACTCCTTGTGTTAATGGAAAGAGTAGTGTAAAGAGCCAGCATTTGGACTTTGGATTTGATGTTTACACTGAGAAGAATGACAATCCCAGAACACTTAATTGTGTTCATGTGAAGCCTATGCCTAGACCAAGAAGCTTTATCCAGACAGAGCAAAGGACCAATGCATGGTTCAAAATCATGAAAAGAGTGTGTCAAGGATGTATCCTTTCTCCACACCTTTGCAGTCTGTAATCTGAACAGATCATTTGAGAAGCTGGACTTTACAAAGATTGTGGCATCAGGATCAGAGGTAGACTCATCAGCAACCTGCATTATGCATGTAACACAACATTGCTTGCTGAAATTGAGGGGAATTTGGAATGCTTGCTGCAGAAGATTAAGGACTACATCCTTCAATATGGATTGCATTCATCTCAACATAAGAAAACAGAGATACTACTGAACAGTATCATGATAAATAGAGAAAAGACTGAAATTGAAATTGTCAGTGATTTCATTTTACTTGAATCTACCATCCACACGCTTGGTACCAGAAGTTAGGAGATCAGGAAATGTATTCTATTGGGAATGTTGGCTGTCAGGGATCTCTCCACATTACTGAGGAGGAATGATGTCAGTTTTAAGACTAAGATGTGCCTGATTCATACCATGGTCTCTTCAGTCATTTCCCATGCATCTGAGTGCTGGACAAGGAATAAGATTGATAAAAGAAAAATTGATGCATTTGAACTGTGGTGTTGGAGAATAATACTGACTATCCCTTGGACTGCCAAAAGAACAGATATGTCTTGGAGAGAGTGCAGCCAGAGTGTTCCTTGGAGACAAAGAAGGAGAAATTTTATTTCACATACTTTGGAAATGTTGTTAGGAGGGGCTGTTTCTTAGAAAGGGACATCATGTTTGGAAAGGTGGAGGATTAGTAAAATAGAAGAACACCCTCAATGAGATGGACTGGCACAGTGACTGTAACAGTGGACTCAAGTCAGTCAGAAAAGATGATAATATAATGGCACCGGGTGGTACAAGGCTTACATCTGTCATTCATTGTGAGACTGTAAGTCATAATCAACTTGATGGCACATAACAGCAACAACAGTGGACTGCCAAGAGAACAAACAGGTCTGTCCTGGAGAAAATGAAACCAGGGAGTTCCTTAGAGGAAAGACTACATCTCACATACTTTGGGCGTTTTTTTAGGAGGAGCCAGTCCTTGCAGGATATCATGCTTGGAAATGTAGAAGGTCACCACAAAAGAGGAAGACTCTCAATAAGGTGGGTTGACACAGTGACCAGCAATCAGGGCAAGTGTGTCAGAGATGGTGAGGTTTGCTCAGGATAGGGAAGGTTCAGAGTCGTTGCTCATAGTGTCACTAATGTGTTGTAGTCAACTTGATAGCACATAAAGACAACAACAAAAGCTGTGTGAATTTGGTAAAAGTACTTTTTAAAAAAACCTATTTCTTGAACTGGGACCTTACAGAGCTAATATGAGATGTAAGTCCATAAAATGCCCAGCATCTAGTTGTTGTTGTTATATGCCATCGAGTTGCTTGCGACTCATAGTGACCCTATGTATAAGAGCCCTAAATGCTGTTCTATCTTGTGCCAACCTCGCCGTCTCAAACACACTCATTTCCACCACTCCACTCACAGAATCGATCCATCTCATCGAGGGTGAGGAAGTTCAAGTTGCTCTGAAGGAATTGGCAAAAAACAAGGCTCCAGGAGTTGACAGCATACCAACTGAGCATCTAGTTAGAGCCTTTAATAAACAGTTAAAGCAAAAACCAATCAAACACCAAAGCAACAGCAGCTTGCCCTCCACGGGACTATCTGTACATGGGTATTGGGTAGTTGTGCCAGAGTAAGTCAGGATACTGAAGGAAGAGTTTCCTACCTCTGGAGGATTGGTTTGCCAGTCTCAAATTCTAGTCAGAGTTTAGGAAAAACTTCCTTTCTCCATCTACTGACGTTCTTCCTTATATTTTATGTGTTTTGCTCATCGCTCTCCAAAAAGAAATGCCTTTTACATATTATTTTCTTCTCCCCCCTGTACATTTTACTTAGTGTCTCAGAATATAGATTCTTTAACACAATTTAGAATTGTTCTCATCAACTCTTTCAGTATAGATAAAATTTAACCTGAATTATAAGACTCTCCATAATCTATTCTTCAGCTCTTTATAAAACTCTTCATGATCTGTTCTTCTATTCCCTTTCTAGCTTTATCTTTCCCTATAAAGTAGATGTTTGTAATTTTTCTGTGTGTTTAGCATCTAAACTATTGTATTTGGGAAATTGCACAGGATATTGGTGCAAGGTAATAAGGCCAGTCTCATATCTCTAAAATGAAAGAGCTTTGCCATTCCCTGTTTTCCAGGCAACTAGAGGATGCAAATGTGCCCCAGGCTTAGGAATTTGAATCTGGAATGAGTGATAACAAAAGATCAAGACCAGGGTCAATGATAGTAGTAATAATAGGAGCAGTGTCCTTGTGTTCTACTGGCAGTGGTGTCTCTATCAGACTATTCTTATGAGTGATTTTCTCTGTAATCATGACTACCTAGCCCACCTGAATACCCACCTACTTTGAGAGCCTAGAGTCTCTAATTTTTTTTTTATTATTATTTTGTGTGCGTGTACCGTCAAATCAGATCTGACTGGTACAGGAGGATATTGCACCTCTTTCTCCGGCAGAGCATCGGGTGGATTCGAACCGTGTTCCTCTGGGATTGTAATTTTTTTTTTTTTATCTCTAAAGTTATCCATTGTTGTTCCTTTTCTGTTTAAAGGAACCTCAGGTGGTTTCTGTTGCAATCTGTATAATTCTGACTTATACCACCTTCCATCACCTAGTGCCCCACTTACATTAAACTTTCTCAGTTCTTCAAAACTGACCATGGTTGTTTCCACCTCTGGGCATTCTCACATACTGTTCTCTCTGGGGGGAAAAGCACCACCTTTTATCCAGTTTTTCATCTGTTTGATTCCTATAGGATTCAACTCTGTTGTTGTATTACTTTTCCTAAATCTCAAGATGTTTTTACCCATCAGTGTTGCCAGAGAATCTATGCTTCTTATCTCTGTTACAGTTTTTCACACACTGTATCTATGCTTCTTATCTCTGTTACAGTTTTTCACACACTGTGTTTAATTGTCTTGATGTTAAATATCTGTTGCTTACAGATAATAATTACTCTTTAAATTTTACCTGTTGAATGAGTTGGGAATGATTGAATTACTATGTTGTATACAATTTTATTTGCATGTCTGTTTCCCCCCTATAAGCAGATACTAAGCTCATCTTCATCTTTGTAATCTTACTTAGTAGCATAGAGTCATAGTGAATGTTGATGGAATAGTGAATCAATGAACAAATGAGTGAATGGCAGAACTATCTTCTTAGACATTCACTTAAACAGCTTCTGGTCCAGAGAAAAGTTTCTTCTTTGATTATAAATGCAGAGATATCTCCATGTGCCCCATATTGAATTACCAATATTGTCAGCTCCTTCCTTGTAGTTAGTAGTCTATATGAGAGATGAAATATGTGCATGGGGCAAAAACCTCCAGAACAACCCAGTTAGATGACAAGCCAGTATTTATGGGCCAAGTGAGTAATAAGGACAGAGCTATAGTGTTGAGCTAAGTAAAACACTTTTAATTGAGCAACTGGAAGTATGGTGCATAGAGTAAATGCTTGGCAAATGGTTCTTACATAATTGGACTGATTAAATAAAAACTAGTAGTGGGCTTTGTCTTTGTTTTGTTTTCTCTGGGTCGTATACAGCTTATATTGGACTAGATCATTGTTTTTTCTCTCCCTTTTTGTTTAGGTCCAAGACAACTTTGACAAAATTGAATTCAACAGAATGTGTTGGACCCTCTGTGTAAAAAAAAATCTCACAAAGAATCCTCTGCTTATTACTGAAGAAGATACATTTAAAATATGGGTTATATTCAACTTCTTATCTGAAGACAAGTATCCGTTAATTATTGTGCCAGAAGAGGTAAGGTGTAGCTTTGGCAAGTTTTAAAATGGCTATTGTAGCATTTAATAGAACGTGGTTTGGAAGTATTTGTGCTGATTCAGGCTAGATATAAAAGGAAATCCTGGACTCGTATTTTTTTGGAGCAGAGGCAAAAACAACCTGAGTCCATAAAAGTCTAAAACTTAGTAATTCTGAGAGATGTCATGCCCTTGGAGATTTTTAGACTGGGTGGAACTCTTCCTCCCTAAATAGCTATAATTATAGATGAAACCATCTTCATGTCCAAAGAATCTTTATTCAGTACAAGGCACAATGCAATATCTGTCTTGCAGTATTAGCAAAGATGCTATATAGGAAACACAAAGGATCCAGAATGTAATTCTCAAAGCTGTTTTGTATGAGTAAATACTATTGACATTATTCTTGTTTCAAAGTCCAAGATGATGACTTTTTACTTTTCTAAGTAAATGAAAAGAGCATTAGCATTAGGTGCTTATTTTGGATTATTTCCCCCCCTAGCCTTTCAAAGGGAAAACAAACAAACAAAGATAATTTCTATGCTTTTTACTTCCTCATTACAGAGGACAGTGGAAAGGAGCCTTACTGGCTCAAGCTCAGATGCTAACTGAGAGGTTGGTAGTTTGAACCCATCAGCCACTCTGTGGGAGAAAGAAGTGGCAGTTTGCTTTTGTAAAGATTGCAGTTCTGGCAGCCCTCTGTGTCATTACTGTTTTTATATGGAGCTACACATCAGTGAGAATCAACTTGAGGACAATGGATTTAGTTTGGGGATTTAAAAAAATTGGAGTAGAAAATTTAGAAAAGACTAATAAAATACAGAATTAAATCAGCTTTAGTCTCCTCATTTTAAAAAGTCATCTGTACATAGAAATTCCATATGACCCAGCTATTCCATTTTTTGTAATATAACCTGAGAAAATAAAAACTGAGACACAAACGGAGACTTGTACACCAGTGTTGATAGCAGCATTATTCACCATTGTAAGACTATGGAAACAGCGCAAATGTCTAACCACAATGAAATGGATTGACAATTATGGTATATTCACATGATGGAATACTACAGAGCATGCAGGTGCAATGGTTTTGTAAATCACTACCTAACTTGGGAGGGCCTGGAGAGTATTATGCTGAGTAAACTAACTCAGTCCCATAAGGACAAACACTGTATATGACCATTATTGTAGAAATGATAGCTAGTAAAACATGTATGAGGATCTAAGGGGGGAATGGTGAGAACAGAGAGGTGAGGATGGGCGGGTGGGGAATAATCATAGGGTCACACCATTTGATGGTAGGGTGGGGTGAGTTAAGATTAAAGAAATGGGAAAGATCTAGTGTGAAAGACAATGTATACGAACTTTGTAAGTAAACCAGCATAAAAGAAAAAAATTATATATATATAGTCATCTATGACCTAACCTTAGACAAATTATTCAACTTCTGTTAGTCTTAATTTTTTTTATTTTGTAAAATAGGACTATCAGTAGTACTCACTCCAAGGGTTATAAGGTGGGTAGTTTAATCTTATGTCTGACACATAATATGCACTTAGCAAATGTGTTAATTCCTACAACAACTATTATTACGTTTATTTTTTTGCATTCTTGTCTCGTTATTCCTTATGATAAATTTCAAGAAGTGAAATTTCCTAAGAAATACATACTATCAAGATACTTGATTAACAAGACAAACTTACCTTTAAAAAGACTAAAAGGTAACAGGAAAACCATACCCTTGCCATCCAATTGATTCTAACATTTTAGAACAAAATGGGTTTTTAAGAATAAATCATTATAGAAACAGACTGCCTCATTTCCCCCCGCCTATGGAGTGGCAGGTTTGAACCACTGACCTTTTTTGTTAGCAGCCAAATTCTTTAATCACTAAACTACTGGGGCTCCTATAATGGGTGAGACTGCCCATTTTTAGTGATCCTGCTAATACTGAGTCTAGTCTATGATTGTCTGACTCATGTTCATGCTGGGAAAGGACTGATATCTGTTTGAAAGTTCACACAGCAATATTTTATTTAAAGTCAGCAAGAATATATTGATTTATCTAGTAATTGAGGCACAAAGGGAAATATAAAAGTGAAAAAGATTACTCCTGCCTTTATGAAATTTGTAATCTACTGGAGGAGAAAAATTAATTGAGTACAAGTCATGGCAAAAGAAACTACTTGCTATGAGAAAGAGACAAATACCATGTGAACACAGAAAAAGAAAAATTTATTTTAGCTTCATGAGGTGAGGGATCAGTGAAGATTTTTTTAAAGAGAGATAACATTACGTAGTCATTAAGAGCAGAGCCTTAAACATTTTTGTTGAAGGGCCAGATGTTAAATATCTGATGCTCTGTGGTCTCTGTATACCCACAGTCTCTGTTGCAGCTAGTCGTATTTGCTGTTGCTTCCTGAAAGAAGCCACAGTCAGCATGTGGCTGGGTTTCAAAAAACGTTTCATTTGTGTATGTTAAAATATGTATTTTATGTAATTCTTAAGGGCCACAAAATATGTTTCTTCCTTTTATTTTTACCCCTAATCTTTAAAAAAATGTAGAAAACTATTTTTGGACCAAAGACTTACAGAAAAAAAGGTGGTAGGCTGTGGTTTGCTGATCTGTATTTAAAAATATTGACTCTCAAGTCACTTTCCTTTATTTGAGTGCTGGTTTGGCATTGCTTACTGGTTGCACTACTTTGGATCATTTACTTAACTTGTTTGTACTTAAGTTTCCTTTCCTGTAAAATGGGACTGTTGCTAGTATCTATCTCCTAGTGTTGTGAAGATTAATTGAGAAGAATGCCTGACCCTTAGTAAGTACTTATTGCATGTTAACTATTACATTATGGAGAAGGTAGCACTTGTGCTGAGCCCTAAAGGAGGAGAATTTTAGTTTATAATGAGACCTCAAAACAAGTCCAGATTGAAGAAACAGTGGGCAAGTTATATGAGGCGGGAAAACAAAGGGAATATTAATTTTGAGTGAAACATTCCTCTAAGTGAATAGTTTTACTGAATTGCCAATCAGGATACTTAGTTGGAAAAAGCCAAGCTGATTGATTTAAACTCAAAATAACTTTAAAAAGGATATTATATAGCTCTAAGATGGCTGAAAACCCAGGTAAAAGCTGTATTGGTAATTTCAGTGAGAAACTATGAAGAAATGCTACTGTGAGTAGGTGTTATAGTTGCGTCAAGGAGACCTCTGGCCTCAGACATTTAGCTCATCCTAGGAACTCAGAGTTTCTGCAGCAACTGCCAGGTGCCACCAAGAAGAATTTTCTCTCTGGCACTCTCTCACCATTTCTTAGTGGAGGGTGTTACATCTGGCCTGTCATGGTACAAAACAGGTACTGTGCTCTAGCTATTACATTGGAGGCTAGAGAATTTCCTAGAAGTAGGGAAAGGATTACTTGTTGTTTGTCATGCTGTTATTTGGGTTTCCTCTTTACTTGTCTTTTACCCTCTTAACATTGTTTCTGGCTAGCAGTACAAATAGATTTATATTTAAAAACAGTTATTTTTATTGTGATTAAAAATATATATATAAAGCTTTTCTGAGAAAATACCAAATGGCGGATGACGCCGGTGCAGCGGGAGGGCCTGGAGGCTCTGGAGGCCCTGGGATGGGAGCCCGCGGCGGTTTCCGTGGAGGCTTCGGTAGCGGTCTGGTCTGCGGGGTCGGGGTCTGGTCTGCGGGGTCGGGGCCGCGGCCGGCCGTGGACGGGGCCATGGGAGGGGCCGTGGAGCTCGAGGAGGCAAAGCCTAAGACAAGGAGTGGCTCCCCGTCACCAAACTGGGCCGCCTGGTGAAAGATATGAAGATTAAAGCATTGGAGGAGATTTATCTCTTCTCCCTGCCCATCAAGGAGTCCGAGATCATTGACTTCTTCCTGGGCATGTCCCTCAAGGATGAAGTGTTGAAAATCATGCCAGTGCAGAAGCAGACACGTGCTGGCCAGCGGACCAGGTTCAAGGCCTTTGTCGCCATTGGAGACTATAATGGCCATGCCGACTTGGGCGTCAAGTGCTCCAAGGAGGTGGCTACTGCTATCCGTGGGGCCATCATTCTAGCCAAGCTCTCCATTGTCCCTGTGTGGCGTGGCTACTGGGGGAACAAGATTGGCAAGCCTCACACCATTCCCTGCAAGGTGACTGGGCGCTGTGGCTCTGTGTTGGTGCGTTTGATCCCTGCACCCCAAGGCACTGGAATCGTCACGGCCCCTGTGCCTAAGAAGATGATGGCTGGAATTGATGACTGTTACACCTCAGCCAGGGGCTGCACAGCTACCCTGGGCAACTTTGCTAAGGCCACCTTTGATGCCATCTCAAAGACCTACAGCTATCTGACCCCAGATCTCTGGAAAGAGACGGTGTTCATGAAGTCTCCCTGCCAGGAATTCACAGATCATCTTGTAAAGACTCACACCAGAGTCTCCGTGCAGAGGACTCAGGCTCCAGCTGTGGCCACCACCTAGTGGATTTTCTATAACAAATAAAGTGAATTATGT